TAGGAACTTTCATATCTATTAATAAATTCAAATGCATTTGAATTTCCTCTGGGTACTTTGAATTTCATATCACAACAGGGATTCAGGCTCAGTCAGCACTTTCATTTGTTAATACCTCCAAAGAAGGCATAGTATTCTGCTTGAGCCAACAGATAATTATGTTTCATAATAGTTATATCATTAGCTGTATAAGCTACTCTACCTATTATTAATTACTAATTTGTGAGTGTTACAAGCATAATATGCTTCAACAGATGCCTGATTTTTTTCTCCTTGTCTCACTGAGCTTTCCAACTATACTCACCCTAATTACATCAGGAAAAAAGACTTTAGTCTTGAACAGATCCTCTTTTCCTTTTTATTAGAAAATGTAACTAGAAAGAAAGGATGAAGTGGCTTCAATTTGGCTTCCAGATATACATAAACCCTTTTACTAAATATTTAAGTTAAATATGGACATATTCACATACAGAGAATATGTGCACTATAAGGAGTTGTATTAATTTTTAAAACCGTGATCTCCTGGTTAGGGATATAACTGAATGTGACTATTTTCTACATTTTTAAATGACCTATGCATTCATTTTGCTAATGATTTTTTAACCTGAACTTAAGTATTAGACATGGTCCCTTACGATGGTTAGCTATCTAGGCTGGTGCTCCATTATACACTTCTAAGAATAGACATCCATACAACAAAGCCAAAAAAAAAAAATTTCTCTTCGTAATCTGCATTTTTCAGATCTAAACTAAGACTCGGTGACTTTTTTTTACTTTATTTTTTTTCCAATGAGTATTTAACTTTTTTAATGTATAATTTATTTGTAAAAATTTTTATGCTGACATTGGTTAACAAATTCTAAGTTTCAGGTGTACAATTTAACAGTAAGGCATTTATATATATTGCATTGTATGTTCACCACCCATAGTTAGAATTCTTTCTGTCACCACATATGTGACCCTTTTACTCCATCTACCTCTCCCCTTCCCCCTCTTCCCCTAACTTCTAGTAACCACTAGTCTATTGTCCATGTCCATGAGACTCAGTGACTTTTTAGCTCACTAATCAGTGAATAAACACTTGCCTACTATTCACAGGATTCACCTACAACCACTGTAATCTTCCTTCTAAGCTGCATCCCCTTCCTTAATGCAGACTCTCTGGGGAGGAAGTATGTACAACCCGCATAAAATTAGGAGTAATACATGGCTTTGTTAATATATATACATATATATATGTATATATATATATACATGTGTGTACATATACATATATATGTACATATATATACACACATATATACATACATATATATACACACACATACATACACACATATATATATATATTTATATATGTATTTACATATACGTTCTTTTAAAAGTTTGCCATTGAAATCATTTGTATAATCTGTACATAGACTTACTTTCAAAATGGAAATAAAGGATTAAGGTGAGGCGAGTGAAAAACTTAAGGAGTTGCCAAATAACTCAATAATCAAAATACATAATATTTTAGTGCAATATTTTTTAAATTAAATGCAAATCCATGATGAACATAATATAAAAACAAGTAAAGACAAGATTGGTATAACATTTTTCCTTTGCCTCAGGCTCAAATATGACTCATAAGGCACTATTAAAAAGAATATCACATTCTACCAAATATTGAGAAACCACAGCCTTTTGCATTCTATAAAATTACATTTATAGAATGTGAGAACCTGGCCATCACCTACTTAGTAATCTATCAAGTGGACAAGTAAATGTGGAACAAGTTACTAGTAAAGGTTCTTAGTACCTGCCCAGGGCTCACAGAGTGAAAGAGTGCTCTTTAAGGGATGATGCTAAAACAGAAGTCAAGACTATATTTGAGTACCTACTGTTTTCTCCAGGGATGGCGAAATTCTTTAATCAGAGCAATAGGGTCTCCCGAGAAGCCATGGGGAATCTGGCTGGATTAATTTATTCATGCCTGAAAATAACATAGAACAGTGACCAAGTGCTGCTTGAAGAAGATGCTCACAGAGGGCTAAGAAACTACAACAGGTGGAAGCTGAGACCCCCCAAAATGGATTACTATGTGCAAAGGAGAGTATGGAGAGAGTCACAATTAGCCCTTGGTGGTAGCAAAATGGAGTGAGTGGGAATCTTTTTACCATTTGGCATTTCTTTTTGTCTTGGCAGCCTTTGGAATGGGTGAGAGAAGTTAGGAATGTCAGGACCAGGGTTCGCAAGTCACTCCCAACTATGATAAGCTATCTTAGAAAAATCCTACAGCTTCTAGTCAAACTCATAACACAGTTAGGGGACATAAGCTGACTTTTTTCTCAATTGAGAATCTTTTCTGAGTTCTCATGACCATAATTGTTTCACTGGTTAGTGAATACATATTGAGAGAGATTCAGCTGGCCACTGGATATCAGCACAGCAAGTACTCAATGATAAATTATCTGCTACACAAAACTGCTTAACAAGTATCCTCGGAATGCTTGTAGATGGTTTCCTATGAGGGGTAGTTTAGGAGCATCAAAAACCACACCTCTTTTCTCTCTACTCCACTTTACCCAATGATCTCTTGCCCAGGCTTGCCACCTTGCCTGAAATATTCCATTATAAATACAATACTTTAAGGTACTCTGTCTCCAAGAATCTCCTAATAAAATGAAAATACAAGGAGGATTTTTACATTAACTCATTAACTGTAATCAATCAGATAAGCTAGTTTTCACCTTAGGAAGTAAGTGGGATGAAATACAAAGAGAGATGCATTTTACTTAGTAGCATAAGGGAAATAAAGGAACTTAAAGGGGGCAGACTTAGGCAGTGTGATGTAGTAGAACTACTTGAAATGCCATATTGTATAATAAATGTTGTCAGGGAATTCTACAAAGAGGAGAGGGCAGATAAGATAGAAGATAAGCAATCAACATAACAGCTTTTATCTAAACAAACATACTTCAAGCTAGTCCTTTAAAACAATCTTCATTTTAAGGCACTTCATCTATTCTATTTTATGGGCAAGTGTCAGACTAGATATCAAAAATGAGTTTTGGTTTTGAGGTCATGTTATCAAATTCTTCTAAAACAACCATATACTCTAAAGCTATTCTGTTTTACTTGCTGGCATTTTCAACTCCCAAGACCAGCCACTTAAGCTGATATAAGGCCAGGTGTAGGAGAAGGAGCACTGGTTAGAGACATAGGCTTCGAATCCTGGCCTTATCATTAATTAGTAGTGTTACCTTGGGAAAGTCCCTTCTATCTCTGGACATCAGTCTTTCATATGCAAAATGAAGGAGTTGGACTAAGTTATCCCTCGGTTTCTTTGGGTCCTGACAGTCTAAGTCTAGTAAAAAGTTTGAACTGGTAGGCCCATTTCTAGATAAAATTTGGAAAATATATGAAGAAATTCTGTGTGCTTCCTTTCTAGTAATTCATCACTGCAAATCCAACCAAGAGTTCTCACAGCACAACCCTAACTGTCCAGTAGCCATATCCAATCCACAATTCACAGTCTTAAGCAGCCTTTCTTGGTTGGTACAGATATGTTTCTGTCATGTCCCCATCAAAACATTCCTTAGGACTTATAAATATAGCTCTACCTTCCCTTCTTATGGTTGGTGTGTAGCATCAATTTTGTATAATTTTCTCTCCAATTCTGGTGCTGTATAGCCAACATAGAGTGCAATAGGAGGCCAGTAGACAACTATACACGTAAATCAATCTATTTCTCCAGACCTATATAGGAGAGTCTTTATGTACACCTTTATTTCTGAGCCCTTTCCTTATGTTAATTTTGACTTGCATCTAAAACCACATGTTCTGTCCTAGTCTCTGATATAGCCTTATATCTGGAATTCAGAACCTTTGCTCTAACCTTGCTCTAACATAGATTAGATTGAGAATAAGAAAGCATATCTTTTGCAAAAGCTCTAATATGATTTCCTTTTCGCATCACATCAACTTAGTGTGAATGGGAATGGTGTCCCTCTGTTTAAGGCAAAAAAAATGTGAAATCACATAACTTCTTCTAAATCGCTATTGTATAATCAGATTTAATATGTCCTACTTTATCCTCCCCAAGTAAATAAGCTCCATGAGAGCAAAGGCTATATCTTATATGACTCCTGTTATTACCCACACTACACTGGAAAAATAGTAAACATGTCATAGATATTGGCTAAAAAGAATTGAATTATTTCATCTATTCTTTCCATGATCTCTTTTTTATCCATTTTATTCTGTATTTTATGTGTTTTATCCTCCCTCCCCATTTCCTGTCACTCAGCCTAAATCTAATAATAACAAAACCTATTTTTAAATTGGTGAATCTTGACTTCTTCTATTATGAACTCTCTTGATTCTCAAATAGAAGACAAAATAGTGAGATGTGGTTTTATCATATAGAGACAGCATAGCATGATGGAAACATCTTTGGCAATGAACAGAATTGGGTTTGAAAGTTAACCAAGACAGTTGAACAAATTTGGGAAAGTTATTAATTTCTTTAACATTGGTTTCCTCATCTATGAAATGGGAAAATAATAGATTTATTGCGAAAATATAAGAGATCTTGCTCAATGCTTAGTATATCATAAATTTGCAATAAATAAGAATCATTATTTTTAATGATAGAAAACTCAAAATCAAAGTTAGAGTCAGTATTAGACATGCTTCAAAAACCCGGTGAATCCTAAACTCTCTGTAGCTGCTTAGATACTTAAAAGTTTTTTTTCTGAGTCATTTCTAGGACGATTCTCAGTTTAGAATAGGACATAAGTTCTTTGGAGGAGAAAATCAACAGCTCAGGGATGCTCTGAACCCAGTGTTGATCCTTAGTTCATGTGAAGAATTTGGCTCCGGTTTGAAGTTCACAGCTTGAGCTTTGAGGAGAATTTGGGAGCAACTAAATGTGCTTCTAAACCCTTAAATCACACTGGAGAATTCTGATTATTTTCCCTTTGCTATAAAAACCAGACTGGCCTCCCAGAGCAGTGAGAATAGAACAAGGCCAAGGCTTAGAATTCTCCATGAGGAAAATGATGTCAGCATGCTTAGGAGTGAGACTGAACAAATCAAAACTAATTTACCTTCTAAAATAAAATTTTAAAACAAAATAATTCCATACCCACAAAAAGGTTAAGTAAAATTCAGTTTATTTTTAACACATTTTTAATATGAAAATAATTTCATATTTTTAATAAACATGCTGAAATTTACAGGAAAAAAGGTAATGAACTGATCACCACTTCCTGAAGTACTTTATATTCTTTGACCCAATATGACAAGGGGGTTAAAGCATGAAAATATTATTGGATTAGACTTAAAATTTCCAAAGCAATATCATACAGTCTTTGGAAGGGAGTATATTAGGGTGGTTCACCATTAATTTTCATTTCATATGTATCCAAAATTTTTCCAAGAATTTCCCAAATGTATCACTAAAATGAAAAGTCTGGGAAAAAGACTGCATCTCTATCCGCTGTATCAAAGACACCCACATATTAGAGATTCCACAGCATTTGGAGAGGAGTCAGCATAATTAACCATCATGCCCATATGCTTTAGATATTGGTTCAACTTAGGTTTCTACTCCAGTTATATATGTTTGGCCCAAGTTCCAGTAAGGGAGTAACTTACAACCCAGTATAATAAACCTTAATATCTCTTCTCTATTGGATCATGTTACAGGGATTTTCAGATTTACTGATTCCCAGAGGTCAGGCAGTTTTAAATTTCCTGAGTGATGTTTTTCCCCTAGGAAACACTTGAACAGATACACAGATGATATTTTTCAATGTGAAATTCTTACAACTTTAACTTAAAAAACAAAATGGTTATTAAAAAGTACTTCTATGTCAAATATGATCCAGGTCATATTCTCTGAATTCTGAGAAACAACACTGTTCTCTCTGCAGATTGCAAAATGTCTTCATAGTGCTTTGCTTAATTAAATTTCATGGTCCAAAATTGAAGGAAGTTTACTGTATCTTACATGACCACAAGGATCTTTCAGCAAAAGGCCAGACCAAAGCTGACTAGCCTAAAATCTAATAGATGATTCCCCACTTTGGGTAATTCAGGCCCCATATCTTATTTCCCTGATCAATCTGGATTGGTTATATAGACTGACCACTTCATAGTCTGTCATATTCATACTCTGCTTCAGCACGGTAGCTCACCATCAGGGTAGCTTTATTATATCCATTGATGTAAAATTCACCAAGAGTCATTTTTTTTTCTTTTTAGTTCTGTTAAGCTTTGGGAGGCCATAGACTTTCAGTAGGAAAGGCATTACTGTACCAGATGCTTCAATATGGGCTGTGCCTGCTTTTGGGAAAAACCACATATTTCTATTGTTAGTGGTTCTTCAGAGAGACTAATGCTAGTTGAAATAACTGAACTTTCCTTTACTATATCAAATTAGTTTTATGAGTTATTAAAAATCAATACCCCCTAGTTTTAACTCTCACATTCTTAGAAAACAAGAGCCTAGTACTTTCATAATTAAAAGATGTTAGGATAAAGGGAAATTAGTTTTAAAAAATATTTTAAAATAACAACAAACTAATCAAATCCCGATCAAAAATGGACTCAAGAAGATAGGAAGATGCTATTGTTATTATTATGAGAATGTGGGAAGAAAAGGCCAAAAACTATATCTTTAAAATATTAAATGTATAAAATCTTTAGTACAAAAATTAATAACGACCTGGAAAATATAGGTCCCTACAACTCAAGCCAAAAGAAATATTTCAAGAGAACAATACGGTGCTTACTGAAGAAAAGTTTGTTTATTGGACCTGGGTTATACTCTTTCTTTATCTACATTAACTAAATTATTTGGATAATCGTTTATTTATTTATTTTTTTACTGTGAGAGGCATACGTAAACATAATTTTATATCTTAGAGCAATTCTGATAAAATTATATTATAAAACTTATCTAGCTCTTTCATATCATTGTGTTTAAAGATATCACCAGCCTTTTACTTTAGATTCTTTACAAGTATGTCTAATGCATATCTTTGATTCTTTAATATGCACATTATATGCCAAATTGCCAAATGTGCATTAGTCTCAACCACTTCCATTTCCTGGGAAGAACAGAAAGAAAGAGCTCTCCAACTTTTTATAGTTAATTTAGGACAGAAATCGTTTCTGTAGTTTAGAGCCACTGTCTTATTATTTAATTTGCCTCTGTAATCAGGGTGGTTTTATCATATCTATTGATGTGACATTAATCACGAAAACCAAGAAAACATTTCTTTTTGCAGTTTTAGAATGGCTTAAAAACATGTCTAACCAATGTACTGTATACTTGAAATTAATAATAAAATTAAATTAAAAAACTTCTGATAAATAATAGATCACTGTCCTTTACATGTCATTTATTTTTCAGCATACCATTTGGTCTGACATTTCAAAAGTAGCCACACAGGATAACACATTTTTAGTTTTAAAGAACAAACTCAAAGGCCAGCTTGTGTCACTTAAAAATATTAAATACTTCAAACAGTAAATAAGTATCATTGCTGTTACCTTATAAATAACTTGTAAAAATTATTTTATCATATAAAAATAAGTCATCAGCTTACAAGAAATATCTGGTAACATGTTATTGGCTTATGAGATATATCCGAATCTGATCTGCCAAGTAAAGCTGAAAAGAATCTTAGCTAATTGATTATAATTATAACAATATTAAAGCCTTTCGTCTCTTACTGAGAATGCGAAAAAATCCTTGCCATTATCTGCCATAAATAGTGTGGGATGGAACAAAAGCTTTTGGTGGAAACAAATATAGTGCCAAGAAGCAATGAAGGAGTTAAGGGATTTTAGACTTGGTGGCAGACATTTGTATATATTTTCAGTACCTGGTGAGATAGTAATTATTCTGTCCAAGATACAACTGAGCCTGAATGGACAGCCTTGACTCATGCTTTCAGCACAAGTCATGCTTCTATGTGACCCGCATACTGAGAATGGCTAATGATTTAAATATTGGTTTCCTCAGTAGGTATTCAGAGTGGTGAAGTTTCTGGCCCATACCCAAGTCTCCAGAGTCTATACAGACTTGATTTTGGTTAATACCCCACATTTCTGATTATTTCTCAGGAACTCTGCCTGCATCCTAATGCAGCCATTACTACAAATGAAAGTAATGTCTCTGAAGCACACTCTCCACTCCCGATTGCCTTCCAATGACTATACCAAGAAAACCCACTTTAATTTTCTAATCCCAGGTATCACTCTGTCATATGATAAACATTAGAAATAGTCAAGCCACTAAGTGCTGCATCCTCTTAAGGATTCACACACCACCAATTATTATATATTTAGCTTCCTCACTCTTTTCCCTAAGCTTGATATGCCCGTTTTTGCCAGGCAGATATCCTGTAATCTTGACTGCCTTCTCAAGTCTGGAATCTCCGACACCTCAAGACTTCCTGAATATTCTCTCTTATCTTATAGCTTGGACAAACTGTTGCCTTGGCACTCAGTATAGCACATAAGCATCTAATACATAGCCAGGTCTATGTCAGTGTTGTATTATAGCACTTAGTGTGTATTGATTTGCATTTCGGAATTTTTTTCTGTGGGCACAGTAGGAATAATTCTCACCTATCCTTGCAAGAAAACAGTGGTAAAGCCCCAAAATCAAGGTTTGCTACATTATCAATGCCCTTGGGAGAAGCCTGAAGTGTGCCTCTAGTATTGAGAATTTCTCGAGTGATTTCAAAATGACATATTTTAACATTTCCCAATGAATAATGCATGTGTCTCTTAATCTTCAAGCCTTGTTAGGCAATAAAGAAAGTAAAAGAAGCACTGGGCAAGACATCAAGAGACCTAGGTTCTGGCCTTTTCTCTGCCAAAGACTCATAGAGGTACTTGACTCAGTCACTTCAACTCTGTGAGCCTCAGTTTATCCAACTGTAAAATGCAAACTGTCAATCTATGTTATTTCCCAAAGCATAAAAGAATCTCAGATGTTTATCATTGCTCCTGCAAGACTATTTGAATCTGTTTTTGGTCATTTCTTATTCTCTGGCAAGGGTTCTGGAGACTGACTCTCAAGGCCTATGGAACAAAAGGAAGACTTTTGGCAGGTCACTTTAACAGGCAAGGAAAACGGGACTATCGGTGGTCCTTCTTCTCAGAAACAGGTAAGGGTCAGAAGAAGGAGTTAAATTCTCTTTCTGGTTCAGGGCATCTGATTGATGCCAAAATTCTCTATGAGAGTAAGACATTCTTCTTTCTCCTCTTCACTTCTCTTAGCTAGTGCAAAGAGGGATAATCGAATTCATTCATTCCTACGGGTCTCTAGGTGTAAATTCAGTGAAGTTTTTGGAGGAGTCAATGTACTACTTTGTGTTTATTTACATTTACAATATTCAGGACCATATTGCATTACCCTCAAGTGAATAGATAAACTAGATGGCTCCTGTCTCACAGAAATATTGCTGCAAACATATAGCAAGGTAGAGCAGTGGATATGTTCACAAGCACAAAGAACATTTTCTGTAATTTAAGAAAGATCCCTCCTCTGACACAAACTTCATAGAGGATAGCTTTTATGTGATCCAAATATTTGCTGGTGTGGCTGGTAAAATCTTTCCCTGGGCTGAAAAACTTGAATTATATCTATAATATTGATGCTTTTGCTACCATACTTGAGATTTACAGTAGCTGCAGGGAAGAAATATTCCTTGCTGAATGATCCAAATCTCTCTAACAAATAGTAATTGAATAATTGAATAAATTTTTTAATAAAATTGAATCAAATTATAACTTTATTTTTCCCCTGGAGAGATTAGAGCAGTATAAAAGGAAGTTCATGCACACCACCGTTGGCAGCAGAGAAAGGAGTAGGAAAGTCATTTGAGATTTAATCCTGGGTCATGTTTGCACCATGGAAATACATACTTTCTCCTTTCTTTTCTTTTAATCTCTAAATACAGCTCTTAGCAGTTACATGCCATTAATAGTCTCATCGTCTGATTTAAAGTTAGAAGGAAACTTTCTTAATATTTTCTCTTTGAGCACAAAAGAGAAACAACATGGAAACCAGAAACAACTTTACTTATATTTTGTTAAAATAAGCTAAGTCAGTTATAAGTATCTAAAAATGTAAATTTAATCCAAAATTATTTTGTCCAGTCGTTGATATTTTAAGATACAGATTATTTATTATGAAAGATATAGTTTACCTATGAGAAACAGAGCAATTGTGCCTGTTGTCTTTTTTATTTCCTCTCTCTCTTTCCACAAATGTGTTTTTCTTTTTTTCAGATTGCTTTCTTTGAAAGCAGAACCTCTACAGTTAACATTAATCACAATTCAATTTTACAGTAAAAATATATAACTTATATAAGTTGATAGGAACATGCATTCATGTTGGTAAAGATCCTGAGACATAAAAATATCTTATTTTTAAATCATAGCTCATTTTGAAATAACATAAATTTAACCATTTTAATCATCCAGAAATAAAAATATTGTCTCTAAAGAGTTATAGCAAAAGGTAGATAAAAAGCATTCTACATATTCATGCAAATAACTCTACTTAACAGGGTTTGTTGAATTACAAATGTTCACAGGGCTATTTTATTAAATATCAATTGAGTGAAACACATTATTAAAAACCTCTCCATGTCAAACATACATTTCTCTGAATTCAAAGTTGCCTGCCCCCAACCTCAGGCAGCCAACCATATAATTATTTCTGTTTGTGCAAATACCAAGGAAATGACATAGGAGGATGGTCCAGGTTCATTATATTCATATCACCCTTAGATCTGGCAGGTTACCCAGAACCTGGTGTGAAGAGGCCAATTCCAGATATTAAAGGTGAAAGGCACAGATAAGAGCTAATTATGCATTTAAAAACCGGAGCCTACCGTTTCAGTTTCTTTCTGTTTTCTCCAGAGATCTCCAAAAGTTCGTGTGACAGCCACTGCAACAAGGACACTACTGATCTGTGCATCAATTCCGGCACTTTGTTCTGAGAATAATCAATCCAATCTCCCTTTACTACCAGAAATAAAAGGAAAGAAAGAGAAAAGGAAAGGAGAGAGGGGAAAAAAGAGAAAAAAGAAAGAAAGGATGAAGGAAGGGAG